TTATATATACTGTACTTTTACACTGCCAATAACAAGTTACCTTCACTTCTCATCTCTTACACTTGGGCTTCAGAGCTCAATTTAGTCCATCTTAAAGTCTACTCTGTGCCAAGGCACTGTTTTAGCACTTTGTTTTGCCACTGGGAGTATGCTGGTGTCCTAGTTCAACTATATGCCTTGCACCTATGTGTCATGACTTGCTACTGACCTCCAGCACTTAGCCCTGGCCTCAGGACTCCAACCTCCCCAAACCAACCTCCATAACCATCCTGGGCCCAGACTGCTACTCAACCAGCCACCTTGGCAGCCCCGGCCATTACCACCTGTCACTACCACCAGCCACTACCACCCCCGGCATCCACTGACCATCACCACCCATGACCACCACATCAGCACCAGCCCCAGCTATCTACAGCGCTTCTCCCAACTGCAGCTGCCACATCAGTGCTGGTGCTGGCAAACCCTGGTGCTTCCTCCAGTCCATGCCGAGGCCTTCCCAGCTACCACCAAGATGCCCATTACACATCACAACCATGCATCACTGCTAGTCTGACTTCCACATGCCACACCCCTCTCCCACTCACCTCTTCACCTCATTGCCATTCCATGCCTCTGCACTCCCAAAGCAAGACCTTATTTTGAAGAGCTTCCTTTGCACTGCATGACATGCATTGTCCACTGCCGCTGCCTTGCACAATCCCCAGGCTTCATCTTGAGCCCCAGCACTGCGACTCATCACCAGGGTCTGAACCTGAACTCTGGGACCTATGTACTATACAGTATATAAGTCATAGAGTAGCAACTAGTACTTTAGTCTTGATATTGCCATACCTCTGTCTTTAGTTTCATGTTTTGTTCTCTGTGTCATTAGTCTCACATGCCCTGGTTTCCATTTTTGACTTATCTCTTTTTTGTATCATACTTGTCTTGTCTTGCCTTGTTTCACTTGTCTCTACTCTTCTCATACTCCCAATCTAACTCTGCTTCATCTCTTTCTCTTTGCCTCAAATCTCTAAGTCTCCTCTCTACTCTCTTGTTTCTCACCTTTGTCTCGACTCACTCTATTTTCCCTCTTTTCTATCTTATCTTGACTGTTTCCCCTTTTGGCTTGCTGAGATCTCTATTCACCCAGCGCTTGCCCTCACCTCTCCCCTCACACACCTAGAACTTGCACCTATCCCAGCCCTTATCTTCCAACCCCCTCCCTCATCCCTGGCACTCGCATTCCTGCTCTGGTGTGACTGGTGATCCCTCACTTGACCACTGCTAGCATCCCTAGCCCTGCCCTGGTTTTCTAAGCCCCATGCTGTCAATAGTACCACTGTATTTGTGGACATTGTGCATGCCACATGAGGATTTGCTCAGTGGACTGAGCTCCTATGGTCAGTGGAACCTAACAGGCATCATCAATGGTACAATAGTAACTAATCACCTAGCAGATATCAGGGGACTTTCATTCAACTTCCCTTCACTACTCTCACCCACCTCCTACACCACTCCTCGGGACCCCCAGGGCTCACTCTAGACCCCTGGAGATTGCCAGAGGTCATTTTCCTTTTAGAAAACCCCTGGAACTTCCTGCACTCACTGTTCAAGCATTATTCAAGATTCAAGTTAGGTCTGGTCACCTGTACACTTGTTCTTATGCCTCCACCACCCACTGATGCACTACACCAAGCAGCAGGAATTCTTAGACTTGTTTTCTTTGGATTTCCCTCTGCTAGGTGATTAGTTACCATTGTATTGTTGATTATCATGCCTAATATAACTTTGGATTTCTCTCTGCTAGTTGTGTGATTGAGCCACAGTCCTTGGAGGTTGCCCTTACAGCAGAAGAGAATTCAAAGAGAACAAGTCTAAGGATTCCTGCTGCTTGGTTCAGTGAATCAGCAGGCAGCAGAGGCATAAGAACACTGTACAGGTGACCAGAGCTAACCTTTACCTTAGATAATGCTTGAACAGGAAGTGCAGGAAGTTCTGGAGGTTTTTCAAAAAGGAAATGACCTCCAAAGATCTTTGGAGGTCTAGACCAAGCCCTGGGGATCCCTGGGAGTGGCATAGGATGTGAGCTGGAATGTAGAGGAGTGCTCAAGGGGAAGTTGGTGTAGACCAAAAATGGAAGTTCCCTGACATCATCCACCTTTTAGCATGTTATGTCTCAATGTGCAGGGTAGAAGAAGTACCAGATTGCCTAATCCACTGATGAGATGGGATAGATTCCTTAGATGGCCTGAGGTGCATCTAGATGTCTCCAGTGAAACTCTCTGACAAGCCCTGGCACATGCACATTCTCCCAGAGTTTGCATGAGATATCTTCTATCCCACAGCCTTTCTACTTCACCTTGTACTCCTTGTTGTTGTTGACCACCACCAGGGGTGGAAGGAGCACTGGGCATCGCTCCAGAATAGGGTTCTCTGGGGCTGATGTTAGCTTGACCACATTGAATACTATCACAACTCACTACCGACCCCTGGGACTCCAACCCTCCCCAAAATGACCCCTACGACTGCCCCAGACCTGGACTGCTACCCAGCCAACCCCCTTGGCAGCCCCCGGCCATCACTGCCACCAGCCACTGCCACTTCTGGCACCTCCTCAACCATCACTGCCATGACCACCACATCAGCACTGGCCTCGGCTATCACACTGCTCATAACTGCCACATCAGCGCTGGCATCGGCAACACCCGACATCCCTGGCCTATGCCAAGACCCCCATCACGCATCACGATCACACATCACTACCAACTCAACCTCCACACGCCATGCCCTGCTCTGCTTCCCTCCTCACCACCTAGCCACTGCATGTTTCTGCGCTTCCAGTGCAAGACCTCCACACCATGCAACATGTCTCAACCCCCCACCGCCGTTCTGCACAATCCCTGGGTCTCACTCCAAGCCCCAGTGCTGCGACCTGCCACTGGAACCTGGGCCTGAGCCCCAGGGCCTACCTACTGCATAGTATATAAGTTGTAGAGTAGTAAGTAGTACTCTAGTCTTGATATTACCATAACTCCCATATTGTTTTGTTGTGTTTTGTCTCTGTTTTATATTCTTGCATGTTCCGGTCTCTTTATTTTCACTTTGCTTTGTTTTTTTATTGTACTTGCCTCATATCTTCTCCTCTTGTCGTCTCTATTTGTCTCTTACTCTAATTTCACTCTGCTTTGCTCCTCGTCCCTCTATTAATTCTAAGTTCTCTCGTCTCTTCTGTCTCTGGTCCCCAATCTCGACTTGATCTGTTTCCTTTTCCCTTATCTTATCTCAACCCTTTCCCCTTTTGGCTCTCTAATCTCCGCACCTCTGTTTCCATCCCCGGAACTCCCTAAGTCCCCATGCTCATCATCTTTTTGAACTCTGAGACTTACTCACACACTGGCGCTCGCTCGTTCCACCCTTCTGTGTCCCTGGGACTCGCAACTACCCCTCGGCACTCATCCTCCACCCACCCCAGCACTTGCCCCCTCCTCCGGCATTATCAGCACCCCTCTACACACCTCCCCCACCCACTTTGGTCTCCTACACCTTGTGCTCTACTGGTACTCTGCATCTGTGGACACAGTGATCACCACGTAAGGTACTTGCCCAGTGGACTGAGCCCCTGTGGTCAGTGGAACCTGACAAATACTGGGTGAAGCTGGTGCATTCCTGCTGGGAGCTGGAGTTGGTAGGCTAGTGGGCCTATCTGCCATTCCACCATGAAGGGTCTTAGTTGATAGTGCAAGAGCTTCTTTGATGGGCGAGTGGTGGTGATGTCAGAGGCATTCAAGTAGACCTAATCTCCAGGCTGGTACTTGGGTGCTGGGGTCCTTCTGCAGTCATAGTATTGTTGTAAAAGCAACCTCCAGGAGCTGCAGCTCAATCACACAACTAGCAGAGGGAAATATGAAAATATATTAGGCATGATAATCAACGATACAATGGTAACTAATCACCTAGCAGAGGAAAATTCAAAGAGAACAAGTCTAAGGATCCCTGCTGCTTGGTATGGTGCATCAGCAGGTGGCAAAGGCATGAGAACAACTGTACAGGTGATCAGAGCTAACCTTAACCTTGGATAATGCTCAAACAGGGAGTGTGGGAAGTTCTGGGAGTTTCCTAAAAAGGAAATGACCTCTGGAGATCTCCAGAGGTCTAGAACAAGCCCTGGGGGTCTAGAGCAAGCCTCAGAAGTCTCAGGAGGTGGGCTGTGGCATAGCGAAGTGCTGAAAATGGAAGTCTCTTGACAGTGGTAGTCTTAGACTTCAAGCAGGCCAAGATGTCTCTCAAGTAAAGTTTTCTCTGAGGTTTGATTTTTTGATTCTCTCAACAATGCTAGTGATGGATTCAACTTTTGCTTTCTAAGATTGTCAATAATTGATTTTTCTGAGCTTGCCAATGATCTGTGTCTCCTCTTCGGACAGCTGTGTCACTTCTGCATTAATGAGAATTACGGTAGTGGGCATTTCCTCTTAGGGAATACCTCCACATTCACTGCCGCCAAGTGTGGCACATCAATTGGTATCTACTATTCTTTATGAACAAACTCAGATATTTTTCCTTACATACAGAGAGATAAACAAATGCGCCCCTCAGTTGACTTTATCTTTAATGGAGTTACTGAGGATAAGCATCGTTATTTTAATTAAGTCAATTAGACTCGTACTGATTACCATGTAGACTTATTTACATAACTCTACAGGTAATGAATAACAGTCGACTTTATCTCTAACAGAGTGACTGAGGACTTATTTACATAACTCTACAGAGATGTTCAGTGAGGCTTGGTCATGAGCTCCTTCACCTGATGGGTGTGCGAGAGATTCCCCAAAAAAGGTCAGGGAGGTTGACCTTGAGGGTTCACGTTTTCAAACCAATCTGGCAGCTGTGCACTGAAGAGACTTCCATGTAAACTCATATGAGTCAAAACAGTTGCAAAACCGTCGGGCGGAACACGTGAGTCCCTCGTCTCGTGAATGTTCTTCTTAAACCGATGGAACACAGCTTGATTATCGTCGTAAGGGCACATGGTGTAGCTGGTTATCACGCTCGCTTTGCATTCTTCTAATGGCTGCGAGTGGTCTCCGGTTCGATTCCGGATGTGTCCAAGGTGATATTTTGTTGAAGTTTCGAGCAACCGAAACAGAAAGTCATACTATTTGGCTTGGCAACTTGTGGGAAGCCGCGCATGTGCTTTGTTTTTTCGAGAACGTAGATGGAAACCACTGACGGAGGGGAGCAGTTCTGACCCATCACAAACATTGGTTGTGTCAACAAGCAGGACCTGGCATGAGCACAATATACGATACGTTTGTCATGGGCACATGGTGTAGCTGGTTATCACGCTCGCTTTGCATCTTTGCTTGCGAGTGGTCTCCGGTTCGATTCCGGATGTGTCCAGTCGAGGGGATATATATATCCATGTTTTGATGTCTACGCGAATCGCTTCAATTTTCATTCCCAGATGAGGTGTTGTGCCTGATATGATGGAAGAAAACATATCTATTGATTAAGAAAACATTTTCCTGACAATTCCAGGCGATCCCATCAATCACAGCAAAACAAACGTGATGCGCATGGGATGTTGTGCCTGAGATCATGGAAAGTGATGCCAAGTTTGATCTCATTCAAATGAGTGGGGGACGAGGCGCTCGAAGGTGGATCAATGCTGTGTGTCATAGTGAGGCCAGGTCATATTGTAAGATACAGTCATACATATATTACAGGTTGTACTGGTGGGTGAGTGATATATTACTCCGCCAATATCTGGTGGTCTGACAGCTTTATTGGCAGTGAGTGACTCGGGGGTATTATGCCAGGTTTGTACATTAATCGGTTTGATGTCGAAGTAGAAACAAATTTGATCAGATGTGGAACCCTGATGTAGCATCTTGTGAATATTGATCTTAACTTTCTTATCCATCTTTTATCTCATCCGTTTCGAACATAGCATGTGGTTAGACACCTTCTAAATCTATATATCTAACCAAAGATACATAAGTGATCCCAAACACCAAGGGCCAAATATTGTCACAGCTTGTTGTAGTGCAATGAGATGAAAAAGAGCCAATAAATACAAATGATTGTACGTACGGCACGTATTAGCACTCACTATATGGTACGATACGGACATGGATCATCATTCATCCCCGATAGCTATTCAGTAATCCGGACTTGCTGGGTACAGTAATGGTGCCCGTATGTCATACTTGGTAGACGGAATATGGTTGCCAGCCCTATTTTTAAGAGTGACCTATGTGAATACAAAACCCATCTGGATCAAAGACTCATAACCTGATGGGATGGTTCGATCCTCATCCCACTGATCCTACTGACGTTGATGTCACATTCATCTGATCAAGGAGTACAAGTGTTTGTCTATATTGGTTCTGCGTTTCTTTCTGTTGAAGGAGGTGATGACTCTCACTCTGAGAATCCGTCCTTGTGAGTTCCCACCAGGAATACTATTCCCAAAATACATGAAGTATCACCTTGTATGATTTTTAGCCTCATGCTCATATAGATTAGCAGCTAAACAGCATTCAGCGCAACATGTCGCCCAAAGGAGCAGTGTCCTTGTCCAGGGAGCAATGTGTAAGCAAAATTACTAGTGGGAGCGTGATGATACATTGTTCCAGCAGCCGAAGTGAGGCCATCTCTCTTGAGGTCAACTACATACCTGATGGAGCTTCGAATTCAAATCTGATCTGATGGATTGATGGGGCACGATGTTTTCTTGTTCACACAGCACACAATGCTTAGAAAAGGGAGAAGAAAAACAGATCATCGTTGAGTGGACTGAGTAAGCCCTTTCGATCATGTCAATTGATTTGAACTTTGCATAAAATCTGTAAGTTGGAACTCCTCATGGTCCAGAAACCAACCTCCCACTCTTGACCTCCTGTGGCTTGTTATATAGTCTGCTATTCTCATTCAGCATGACTCCTGAAGAACGAGACATCATTCGATCATTTGGACAGGATCTACTTTTTGAGTGGATTATTACAACAGCAGTCACAGCTCTTGCCTATGGTGTCCTTTTCCTCAATGGTAGTACTCCATACTGGATATTAACTTCTCCGCAGGTTTCTTGATGCCAATTGCAACCATTGTTGCCTACCAGTGCGATAACACTTAAAAAAGCACATGAATTCCACCTGAGCTAAGTCAAGCAGGCATCCAGCACAAACTTGGCATTCCCGATGTCAATTAGCAGTAATCTGGTTGGGTATTATAGCATTATCTGGAAGTTTTTCGCTGCGAAATGTTCTAACAATTCCTGAATATCAACTTTTCCTCGATGACATTGGGGCTCTTTCCCAACGCATCAATCATGACCG